TTTTCGTTCACATCTTTTAAGTGTGTCAAGTAGCTAGACTGTTTAATTAGAGGATTTGAAACAGAGAAGCAGCAAAGTCACCATCTTATTAACACCATGAAATGACTTGTTTAAATATAAACCCATTAAATGTTTAAAATACATCATCTAAAAAGTCCATTTCATCGTGGGCCATCTGTGGTTACCACTATCAGAAGGATGCGAGAGGCGTATAGATTTAACAAATGACTAGAAATCGCTTCCTGGGAAAGTTCATATATCCCCCTAGTGTTGTGTAAACAAATAAAAAAGCTGTGGTTTTCTTGTTCTATCTGCATAAAATAATAATTCTCATCAGTATCAATACATTTCACAGGGTACTGATTAGATCTTGAATATTCATGCATGCATTAAAAAGCCTTCTGTTGCTAAGGTGGAACGTCATATCATGAAATGTGTTCCAGCATTCCTTTAGGGAGAAGAATCTTATAACTGAAAATGAAATCAAAAGCTGCAGCTTATCGACAATAACAATCAGGAAGAGAAAGCGGGAAGATTGCCCTGGAAACCGAAGAGGCTAGATTAGATTCCCAGTGAAATATTAATGTCCTTGTGGGCCTGGGGCCTGGAAAGACTAATATTCAAGACATTCATTCAATTCAGTGAGTGTCTTCAGATCCCAAGCATCCACCATATGTACAAGTCTCATTGTTCGTTTGGGTAATAAGACAACAAAATTCCAGATGGTCGAGGTAGAGTTAAGGGAAATGGAGCAGGACTGTCCACGGAGGATCCCAGCATAATAATGAACAACCATCTGGAAACACTGGCTTTTAATACTGGGCAAGTTCTCCCCTAGGTAGAAAAAAGGGTGGAAAACAACTTGGCTTTCACTGCATATCTGATTAGGAGTGTAAAACCCAAGCTGTTCCTTTGAGGGAGAATCCCAGAAATTAGGAACTCCTGTAGACTTGTAGACACTCATGTCTCACCCTTAGCACTACTGACATTTTGAGGGTTGTATAATGCTTTGTTATCAGGGCTGTAAATTCTTGGACCTGCTGAACTTTAAATCTGGAGCAGGGTCACCCCTCCACGTGATTCTGATGTTGGCTAAAGCTTAAGAAACAGCAGTCTAACTCAACTCCTTCATTTCACAATTGGAGACACAGAGGTTAAGTGTCTATTGAAGAGCCAACCGCCGGTTAGCAGGAAAGCAGTAAGTTCATCACATCTCCTTCCCCAGAGAGGTTGCTATGCATGGCCTCGCAGGAGAGGTGGAAATCCTGCAAAGATATTTCCCAGCACCACGACACATGAAACGCCTTGCCGCTCAGCAGAAAACATTCCAAGTCTGGCTGAATATGTTTCTCAAATCTGGTTTCTCTCCTGGATTCCCAGATCTCCTAAGCTTTCGCGCAGAATACTTCACTTCTATTGACATTATTTTTCTAAAGACAGTTTAATAAAATGATTAGTTTACAGCTAGGCTGCTCAATTTTTTTTTAATTGTTATCACTAGATCCCTTTTTAATGATAAAATCACTTGGAGTTAGAAGAAGCCTTAGTTTCATAGCCACAGTTATTATCACTGTTATTAATGTTGATAGATAATTGTTGGTTTAAGATTTTAAACCTATCTGTGAGGTTGGCTGGAATAGAAAGCAGCTTAGATGTGTTAGAAAATAAAAATGTGTCAACCTCTTGTATTTGAGAAACTTTTTCTTGATTGCTTATTTTTTTAATTAGAAAAAAATATAGAATGCTGTGAAAAAAATAATTTTTAGCCCTAGTAAATGAGTTTAGAAATGTTACATGGAAAATAAGTCACACTTATTTGCCCACTTTTTCCACTTTTTAAAGTGAGATAAATGCACACTTCCCACCCCAGCATCGTTAAGCCACGTCCTGACTTCTCTGCCCTCTACCTTCTGGGTTAATTTTGTGGGAATTAAGGTCTCTAATTACCAAGGAGAGTGGGGAGGCCCAGTTATTTTGCTTTCCATGGGAAAAAGAATAAACAGGGTTAAGAGCTGGTGGAACGTGTCATCTACAGGAGGGCAGCTGCACACGCGGGTCTAGATTGCCTAAGAGGCCAAGGACGCAAGAAATCACAATCAAAATGGGTCTGTCTGCCAGGGAGGGCTTTCCCAGCCTGATTTGTGCCAAGTAACTTTAGAAACAGTAGTTTTTCTTTCCCTGTTTAATGATATTTGTGCAGTTTCTGGAAATAACCTTGCAGATCTAAGTCCACATTTATGTTCAGATTTCCAAGAAAGTTAAAATAAAATGATGCAAATAGCGACTGATTTACAATTGTTTTGCTGTTTCAACTGCCATCCTTTAAAACATCTCTGTACAGAGAGGTAACATAATCAATATTTTGGTGACCATTTTTTTAATAGACTTCCCTATGCATGTGTGCACACACACATAGACAGCATAAATAGATTCATATGTTTGATGTTTTATCATAGTCATCTTTTTCTTTTAGTTTTGCCTAATTCCTTTTTCTTTTCTAATCATCTTCATCTCTAAGGTAGCCCTCCTTGAAAGCTTACTAGGTAGCCTTCCAAGTCTTTGTTCATTGTACAATCACATACACACACATAATTATTATGTCCAGCACATAGAACAGAATCAAGTATTTAAAACAGTGCCAAAAACACTGTAGTTACTCAATAATATTTGCTGAATGAATGGGTTGCTTCATAAAAATGAGATAATTATATATGTATATATAATTACTATAAAATTATAATTATTTTATATACATATAATGATCCTATCTTTCTGTATATGGGTTTTATCACTCAGTGCCTCTAGGTAATCGCTCCATATAGATTTAATTAATTCTTACTCATGGTTGCATAATATCTTACAGTTATGAAGGCAACACCAATTTAATTTAGCTATATCCCTAATAAATAGTCAAGATGATTTTACTTTTTTGCCACTATAAAGAAATGATAACTAACATTTATTGAGTGTGTACCACATGCAAAGCATTTTTTTGGTAAGCACTTTCATATATAAAGTCACTGAATTAAGGTTATTCTCTCCATCGTAGGAAACGGAACAGGGGTAAGAAACTTGCCCAAGGCTACATAGCCAGTAGATGGCAAACTAGTCAGCGTGGCTCCAAAGTACCTTTCACTGAACTGATTCTAAACAAGGCAGTAATCAACACAATTGTACGTATATCCTAATGGAATGGTGCTTTATTTCTAGTTGACAGTTTCCCAGGAGTGGAATTACTGTGGAGGAGTATGTGCATATTTTGTATTAATAGATTGCTTTGCAAAAAGGCAGTAACAGTTTACATTTCCACCACCACTGTGTGAGAATGAGCTTTCCTTCAGCAGATTATCATTTAAAATTTTTTTAAAAAATGTTTTACCAATGAGGTAAGTGAGAAATGATATTTCATATGTCTCTGTGCGTTTCTGACAGTAGTGAGGTTGAGCACCATGTTTATTAGCCATTTGGATTTGCTCTGTTATAAACTGCTGTATTAGTCAGGGTTCTCCAGAGACACGGAACATATAATTACTCATATGGTTATGGAGGTCTAGCAAGTCCAAAACTCTGCAGGGTGCGCCAGCAGGGGAGACCCAGAGAAGAGCTGACACTGCAGCTCAAGTCCAAAAGCTGCAAGGCTGAAAACCCAGCTTTCCTGTCAACAACTTTAAAACAACTAATCCTTTTGGTATAGTAGCCTTTCTAAAGCTGTTAAGGTTCAGACTGCCTGGATTTGAAGTCTAGCTCTCCACTTACTAGTGACTGAATTCTCTAAAGTAAGGATATTAAAAACCTGTTTATAGGGTTTCTGGGGACACTGAAGGAGTTGCTTCTCACTTAATAACTTTCACCTGTTGTTGTTTGTTCTCTTTTACGGATTTGTCCGTTTCTTTTTCTTTTCTTTTCCCTTTTTCCTTTCCTTTTCTCTTTTTTTCTTTTTTAAAGCAAATTGTTAAGAATATAGGGATGAAATAACTGTCATTTAGAAGATACACAGGATAAAAGCAAAAAACTTAACATAATCATGTGTCCTGGGATCTTCTGTCTCTAAGTAACTTTTATACAGGTACCTCATAAACGAAAATCTTTTATAGAAGATATACAAAGGAGGATTTCAGATAAACGTTCCCCATTTCACTAATGCAAGGAATCCACCTACTAAATATCCCCCCTATTTGTGTTGCAAAAAAATCTTTAAAATGTTAAGAAATAAGGCCAATCATCAGAAGCCTTCTTACCTTTGGTGTGTATGGGAACTTTTAGGTTCCTAAGAGTGTAAAAATTTGTAGCAGTGATGAACCTCACATCTTGACGTATGGGTGTCGGGGTAGACAGGAGTTAGTTATTTTGAGAACTGTTTGGCTAGGCGAAATATTTTATAAATGGCGCTCAGTTACTATCCCTCTTAGAGAAATACCATGACCCTAGAAAGCTTCTCATCAGAAACAATGACTTTGAAAACCTCCTTTCCCAAAATTATCAATCTTAGAGAGTTTGTTTTAACTTTGTTTCTGTTTCAAGGACTAGAAATAATGTAAAGTGCCCACTACAAAGAAGCCTCACAATAAATGGCAGCTGTTATCGTCACTCCTTGCGGTCAAAGACCGTATATTATCATATCCGTACCACCTCCCAACGCCTTGCACGTATTTGACGATCATATAAATATTTATCAAATAAGTGAATGAGCGATATCAATGAGAGGTTGCACTCTGGCTAACGCCTGGAGTCCGGCGTTATGGGTTAGACACTGCGGCCCCGAGAAAACGGGAGATGAATCCGTCTCCAGCTTGTCCACTGTCCGCAGTGCTAAACTACAATCCCCAGCATGCAGTGCATCCCGGAAGAGAAGTTTCCAGCTCTCCATTGGGCACGCAGGAGAAACGTAGTAGTTTATGCAAATACGCGGGCTCTAGCGTACGCACGCACGGAGACTGCGCACATCTCCTCGTCTGAGTTCCGCGGAACTCATTTTGAGTACGGGGATTTTAGCCGGTAGAATTTAAGGAAGGTTCACTTCCGGGAACACCGGAAGCAGTTTGAAGATGGCGTCCTCTAAGTTGGATTGTCCCGCCGCGGCGTCTGGGAAAAGTGAGTTTCGTAGCAAGAAGCCGAAGCCGGAGAACCGAGGTGAGCTTGTGTGAGAACCGAAGCTTGGTGTGTGTGGATGTTGAGTTGGGATTTTTTTCCTTCTCTGGCTGGGAACGTGCAACGCCGTCTTGAGTCTATTCTGTAAAATTGCTTACCTGTAATTCCTAATGATTGGAGTTGGCGGGACTTCCTGGAACGACTGGCTGGTATGGTGCTAGCTGCGTGTTCCTAGCTAATCGCTTTTGCTAGAAGTCCCCAAAGTAGAGGTGTTTCGGAATGTGTTTTCTGTAGAAGGGTGAGGACTGAAAAACTGAGAAATTGAGCAGGGCGCTTCGGGCGTTACCTTAGACTCGTGGCGATATTGGCAGCATGAGGGATGGGATGAGGTGGGAGTAGGAGGTTGTTGAGTGAACGAGTGATAGTGATAATGAAGGACTGAGACAGGCATAGTGATAGAAAGAAGGAGATACTTGGCGTGTCTTTAGTGCTCGTTTGTCAGCCAAGAAGAAATTTGAGAACGTTTATCATTATTCCTATTTGTTAGGCTGCTAAAATATTAGTCGACGCAACTCCTACTCTTTCGACTGCGTTATTTTTAAATTGCTCTTTTGGTTTGTTGTCTTGTTTTATCCCTTTTGTTCAGGAAAAATGACAGGAAGAGAGGCCAGAGAAATAGCCTGGGGCCTGCTCAACCGGTCTTGTTGAAAGTGTTAAAAACCTTGACCTCTCATTCTACAGGCATTAGGGAGGTATTAAAAGTATTTGGTTGGTGGTGTTTTAATTGAGTAAAATATATAGCAGAGAGGACAGTATATGTACACCTTAAAGAATAAAACCAGCAGGTGGAAAGGAACACTCAGACCGTTATGTCGAAAGAGCATTACCATACTCTCAATGCCCTATGCATGCGCCTCTCAGGTCATTCTTTTCCTTTAGGGACGCAAAGTAACCTATTTGGAATCGTGTTGATCATTGTCTTCTCTCTTCATAATCTTTACCACCTATGCACAAAATGTTTTAATTTTGTCTGTTTCTGAATTTTATGACTGAAAGAGGACTGTAGGCATTCTGTGTCTTGCTTCTTAGGCTAAACTTTATTTTTATTATTCAACAGGGCAGTGCATGTAGCTGTAGTTTATTCTTTTTCCTGCTATATCATGTTACCTTGTATGAATATACACTAATTTATATTTTTATTTGTATTTTTATTCTACCGTTGGTGTACATTTGAATTGTTGCCATTGTTCGTTGTAAGTGATGCTGCTATAAACATCTTTGTACGCACCTCCTAGTTAACATGTTAAGTGCTTTCTCTAATTATGTATATGGGATTGGAATTCTGAAGTGTAAAGTATGTGCAAGTAATGCTAAATCTTTCCCAAAGGAGTTGAGTCAATTTACACTCCCACTAGCAGTGGGTGAGAGTTCTCATAGCTCACCGTCACGCTAACACTTGCTATTATCTGAATTTTGAATTTCTGTCATTTTGGTAAATGTGAGATGGTATCTGGTTGGAGTTTTAATTCAAACTTTCCTGATTACACGTCTTTACACGTTTTGGGGTTACTTGTGCTTCCTGTATTATGAAACTCCTGTGTTATTTCTTTAGCCTTCTTTTTT